CGGCCTCGGCGCCCAGCCTCCGCCCCGGGGCCTCCACACACGGCCTCCACCCCGGGGCCTCCACGAGGGGCCTCCACACATGGCCTCCACCCCGGGGCCTCCACAAGGGGCCTCCACCCCGGGGCCTCCATGCGCGGCCTCCACCACGGGGCCTCCACCCCGGGGCCTCCACACGCGGCCTCTGCCCCAGGGCCTCCACCCCAGGGCCTCCACTCGTGGCCTCCGCCCCAGGGCCTCCACGCATGGCCTCCACCCTGGCCTCTGCCCCGGGGCCTCCACCCCGGCCTCCACACCTGACCCCCACACCCAGGGCCTCCACGTGCAGCCTCCACCTCGGGCCTGTGGCCCCAGGCAGGACGGACTCTGAAGGACCAAGCAGGCCAGGCCCAGCGCCCACCCGGGACCCACACCAGCTCAGGCCACCACCTGCCACACCTGCAGGTCCAGGCCCAACGCGGGGCTGCCGTGACACAGCCGGACTGTGCGTGACACAGGCACGGGGACTGAGCGTGACACAGCCCAGGACTGAGCGTCACACAGCCCAGGACTGAGCGTCACACAGCCCAGGACTGAGCGTCACACAGCCCCAGGACTGAGCGTCACACAGCCCAGGACTGAGCGTGACACAGCCCAGGACTGAGCGTCACACAGCCAGGACTGAGCGTCACACAGCCCAGGACTGAGCGTCACACAGCCAGCCAGGACACGGCCGGGTCTGCGGGATGGAGGCCCAGCTTCAGACCCCCTCAGGGCCAAGGACGTGGGGGGACGGGGTGGGGGAGGGGAGGGGACAGGGAGGAAGGCGAAGCTCATGGCGCACTGGTGCTTGATCACCTCCCTGGGCCGGGGAGGAGGGGGACTGGGGTCCCCAAAGATGGTGGGGGCAGGGGGGGGAGCTGGGGTCCCCGAGGATGGGAGGGACAAATGTATTTATAGATTGTAGCCACACGCCAATAAAGATGACATGGAGACCACATCTTTATTTGCTTTGGGCGCCGGTGGCTCCCGCCCGTCACCCCAGCTACTCAGGAGGCTGGGACCTGAGGATCGCAGTTCAAGGCCAGCCCAGGCAGGAAAGTCCAGGAGACTCTGATCTCCCAGGAACCACCAGAAAACTGGACGTGGCGCTGTGGCTCAGGTGGTAGAGCGCCAGCCTGGAGCTGAGGAGCTGAGGGACAGCGCCCAGGCCCTGAGTTCGAGACCCGGGCCAAATAAATAAATCAATGAATACTCTGGCTAACGTTTCCCACGCTCACTTTGCTTTTACTGAGAAAGACTGACTTGGGGACCAGAGGCCACCGTCCCCCCCCTCCGCCTCCTCTGATCCTTCCCCCCTGCGGGGGTTAAGGGGACAGGCACCCCAGGGGGCAAAGCCTGGGTCACCCTGTGATGTGGGGGGGTTGTTGGTTTTGGCCACTGGTATGAGATCTCTGGAGAAATGGCTGTGACACCAAACAGCCTGGCCCAGCCCGGCTGCTCGGGGCCGGGCTGGCCTCAAACCTTGATCCTCCGCTCTCAGCCTCCTGAGTGGCTGGGAGGAGCCTCCGGCCTCTGGGTGGTTCCTGCTCGGCCTTGCTGGGCCTCTGGCCCCCGGGGGGGGGGGTGGCTGGCGGCTGTCCCCCCTCAGGGTGTCTGGGGACTGGGGCGGGAAGCGGGCTGTAGACAGAAGAGGCTGGGCTTGTGGGGGACCCAGGGACGCAGAAGGTTCTCTACCACGGGAGTCAGGCCCCTCGGCCGTCTTTCATAGAACCCAAAAGAATGTGCTGGAATAAATGAGTGAATGAATAAAGGTACTTTTGGCTTATTTTTTTTTGCCAGCCTTGGAACTTGAACTCAGGGCCTGGGCGCTGTCCCTGAGCTCATGTGTTCAAGGCTGGCGCTCTACCACCTGAGCCACAGCACCACTTCGGGTTTTCTGGTGGTTCATGGGAGATCAGAGTCTCATGGACTTTCCTGTCCAGGCTGGCTTTGAACCACGATCCTCAGGTCTCAGCCTCCTGAATGAACCCCAATGAACGCTGGGGAGGAGGAAATGGGGAAAGAGACATCAACTGGGGGGGTAAAAGCGGGGGGGGGTCTGGGTGAAGATGAGAGAATGAACAGGGGTGCAGCTGCAGCCATGAGCACAGAGCAAGGAGGTGGCTGGGTGCTGGGTGCCCGCCTGTCCTCCGGCTGCCTCGGAGGCTGAGATCGGAGGATCGCAGCTCAAGGCCAGCCCCGGCGGGAAAGTCTGGAGGATCCTTGTCTTCAAGGAACCAGCAAGAAGCAGGAAATGGGGATGTGGCTCAAGTAGTAGAAAGCCAGCCCTGGCTTCTTTTGTGCCAGTCCTGGGGCTTGAACTCGGGGCCTGGGCGCTGTCCCTCAGCTCTGCAGCTCCAGGCGGGCGCTCTACCCCCTGAGCCATGGCGCCACTTCTGGTTTTCTGGTGGTTCCTGGGAGATCAGAGTCTCACGGACTTTCCCGCCCGGGCTGACTTTGAACCGCGATCCTCAGAGCTCAGCCCGCGGAGCGGCTGGGGTGACAGGCCGGGGGCGCCCGCGGGAGACAGCCGGGGCCCAGTCCAGGCCCAGAACGGGCGGGA